CTGGCAAATACAAAATCATTTTCGTGCTCTGCAAAGGACAGACTTCACTCTTATCTACAAAGTATGACTACATGAATAAGACGCCACGGAATAACACTAAAATAACCATGGAAACCACCCATTCCCTCCGCTCAGCCGGCTCTGGCCTGCTCCACGTCCCCCGACATACCCCAAGAGCCTTCAGCTACTCTGCCCCAACCTCTGGAATTCCATTCCCCAGTCTCTCCGCCTCACCCCCTCCTTAGCCTCCTTCAAGTCCCACCTCAAGACCCTCCTCTTCGACCATGCCATCGGCCACCCTCCTTCCCCTCCCCTCCCTTACCCCCCCACCCCAACCCTAGCTCGGGTCTGAAATACTATACTCTGTCCAGCGCCTTTGGATGTCCGTCCGACGTGAAAGGCGCTGTACAAATGTAATCTTGTTGTTATTTTCAGTGGTACATTCCATCTGAATTCAATTACCAGTCTTCCAACATTGTAGCATTAGTCATTCATTTTTACTTAGAAACAGAATATAGCATTTCAGAAACCCCACAGGCAACGATAACAACAAATTATATTTACATATTGCCTTTCACATCGGGAGGATGTACCAAGGCATTGGACAGTCGAAAGTTTGTACCTGACCTGGGGGTTAGTTTCAGGAGGGGTTGGTCTAGGGGGAAGATGACCAAAGGCACGGTCAAAGAAAAGGGTTTTCAGACGGATGTTGAAGGACGCGAGGGAAGGGACGTGGCAAAGGGACTCCAGGATAGAGTTTTAGAGAGTGAGGACAGATAGGCTGAAAGCCCAACTACAGAAAGTCAGACAGGCAGAGGAAGGGATGTGAAGCAGGCCAGTGCCTACTGACTGGAGGGAGCAGCCAGGTTGGTAGGGTTTAAGAAGGTCACAGAGGTAGAGTGGAGCAACACTGTGGAGGACGAAGATCTTGAACTCATTCCTTGAGGGATGAGGAGCCGGGCCAGATTCGGAGTGCAGCACCTCTGAACCTCAGGCTCTGGCAATATCAACCTCCATGGTTGCTCACTACAATTCACCAAGCGAGTCAGGAACCTAGGTGTCTTCTTTGACCCTCAACTGTCTTTTCTTCCCCACATCCAAGCCATGACCCGCTCTGCCTTCCCTCACCTCTGTAACATCGCCCGACTCCGCCACTAACTCACCCCTCAGGCCGCTGAAACTCTTGTTCATGCCTTCATCACCTCCAGACTTGACTATGCAAACCCCTTGCTTGTCGGCCTTCCCAACTCCTCCCTCCACAGGCTGCAGATAATCCAGAACTCTGCAGCCCGTGTCCTCTCACGCACCAAACTCCGTGACCCCATCTCCCCCACTCTCGCCCGACTCCATTGGCTCCCTATCCTTCAGAGAATCCAGTTCAAGATCCTGGTCCTCACCTACAAAGCCCTCCATGGCCTCGCTCCACCCTACCTCTGCAATCTCCTAATCCCCTACCAACCCAATAAATAAATAAATGGATCCAGATATACAGGTACCTACTTCCAAGTGACCCATATTAAGGATATTGTGACAAAATGGCAACAAGGCGAAACCTTGGGCAAGTTTCCTTACCCCACACAGAGCCTAATAATAATCCCTCCAGAAACCCAAAACAATAACAACTTGGTCATTTTCTATCTACGACTGCTTGTGGGACATTGCTGTGCGCAATTGGCTGCCGCGTTCGCCCACAAATATACAGTCGATTCACTTTACAGTGTGTTCTGTGAAGCGCTTTGGGACGTCCTCCCGACGTGAAAAGCGCTATATCAAATGCAAGGATTATTATTATTATTATTATTATCAATGCTTGCATTCTCTGAAGAAGGAATGTATCCAAATAGTTGGAAGACATATCACACAATGCCAGAATATTATTCCTTATCAAAAGCTCCAGAAATATCAAGATCTAATGCTCTAACTGCATGCCAAACATTGTTACTTATGGTGCTTATCCTTAAGCAGGTGCTTATCCAGTTCTCTTTTGAATGACTCATCTCAACAGACACTTGCGGCAAAAATTCCAAACTCTAACAACTCTGAGTGACGAAAATCCTCCTTACTTCTTCCCTAGTTTCTAACAGTCCTGTGACTATGCCCTCTTGCCACCAATTTCCCCAACTCAATATATTTTCCCCATCTACCATATGATTCACCCAGAAAATAGACAGTCAATCCGCTTTACAACAACAACAAGATTCCATTTATAGAGCGCCTTTCACGTCAGGAGGACGTCCCAAGGCGCTGCACAGTTGGGTCATGACCCGAGCAGGGGGGAAATGGTCAGGGTGAGGGGAGGGAAGGGAGGGAGCGAGGAGGGGAGAAATCGTCAGGGTGAGGGGAGGGAAAGGAGGGAGCGAGGAGGGGGTAGAGAGTCGAGAGGGAGCTGAAGGCTCGGTCAAAGAGAAAGGTTTTGAGACCGGCCTTGAAGGAGGAAAGGGAGGAGGCGGCGAAGGCACTGGGGGATGGAGTTCCAGAGCCTGGGGGCTGAGAGGCTGAAGGCCCGACCACCGATAGTAGGGCGGTTGGGGCGGGGGACGTGGAGCAGACCGGAGCCAGAGGAACGGAGGGTACGGGCAGGTAGGTAGGGGGATAGTAGGTTGGAGAGGTAGGAGGGAGCAAGGCCGTGAATGGCCTTGTAGGTGAGGATGAGGATCTTGAAATCAATCCTCTGGGGGATGGGGAGCCAGTGGAGGTGAGCGAGGGTGGGAGTGATGTGATCGCGAAGCCTGGTGCGGGACAGTACACGAGCTGCAGAGTTCTGAATTACAATATATTCTCTATACTGAAGCACTTTAAGACATCTCCACAACGTGAGAAGGCACTATATCAAAAGCAAAGATTATTATGTTCCTTCAGTATATTAAACATCTGCTATCGAATCCTCTTTTAATCTCCACTGCCTTAATGGAAAAAAATCCCATTTAACCAGCCTCTTTTCATGCTTACATTGTCTCATACCCAACTTAATGAATTTGCCTACATCCTCTTCATCTCTAACATTCTTCCTGTAATGGAGAACCCAAACCTGAACACAGTATTCCAACTCCACTCTAACCAACATCCTACACAATTCCAACATGCGTTCCCTAATTCTAAATTCTTACCCCACTTTATAAACGCCAGAATCCGATTTGCCTTCATGATAGCTTTCTGTACCTTTCATCTGACTTTCATAATAATCCTTGCATTTGATATAGCGCCTTATCACGTCTTCAAGACATCTCAAAGCACTTCACAGAATATACTGTAAAGTGTAATGACTGTGCATTTTTTGTGGTCAAAACGCGGCAGCCAATTGCACACAGCAATGGCCTACAAACAATCGTGGATTGATGACAAAATTATTTTTTTTTAAGGAATTTTTTCCCCCGGAAAAGTGATCCAACTTACAATGACTTTAGTAAGTCATAAGGTTTGTTTTGAACCCTATTTAACAACCAGGTAGCGGGATGTTGTAACCAAGATGTTTCAAAAACATTCACAATGGTTTTGATGAGGTTTGATGTAATTGATGAGATGGAATACATGTAGGTCTGAAGTTATGTCTGAGTTTAACCTAGTTGTGTAGGCAGATTCAGCAAGCATCGTGTTTCCTGCTTTCCATTTAGAAGCTAAAAACACATAAACAAAAGCATTATTTAGACATTGTGTTTGTTTCTTCTGCATCTCAAGCCAGATTACCACAAGCACAATCTCCCCAAGCATATAGATTAATTGCCATCTAAATGAACGCTGCAAATGAAAGCAATTACTGCCAAAGATGTTTAAAATTCTTTGGCCTGAAAAGTAACTGGTTCCTAGAACACGATTTGACCACAAAGACAAGACGTTGCATCTTGATTCACCCATTTGGGTTCTCACACCAATTGGAATTAATACCTCAGCATTTCAGCAAATTTTCACCCGGCCACAAAATATACAGTCACTCCACTTTACAATATATTCTGTGAATCGCTTTGAGATGCCTCTCACCAACATGATAAGGCGTTATATCAAATGCAAGGATTATATTATACTGTATGCTGTTAAAAACAGTATTACCACAGATGCAAAACACACAATCCATCGCTCTCAAGATGAATAGTGAGATGGGCCTCAAAGTTATGAAGACAATCTGACCACCTTCCACAGTGTCAGTCCTTAAAACATCTTGGGACATCCTCCCGATGTGAAAGGCACTGGACAAATGTAATTTGTGGTTGTTATTAAAACGCCCATGACATTAGTGACAATTTACAGCTGACATCAGCAGGTTCTTTAGCTGAAAGTTTCAGTGTGGTAACAAAACGATACAAATTTACATGTATATACAGCGCCTCGCACATCCTTCATCTCAAGGCGATTAACGATACTTGGCTTTGGAAGCCTGAGGTTTCAGAAGAGAGAGAAAAAAAATTATGGCAACGTCACTCTGCTTTGCTTGGGTGAGAGGTTGGGGGGAGATGCGGAGATGATTTTTCTCCACCGCCTCTTTTCTGCAATGGTTTGAGGCCAAGTGAAGGAAGGCGTCCGGATCTCCTGTCTGACCTGTCACCGGGATGAACTGACAGGGTCCAGTCTTGAGGCAGCTCCAATAACAACAACAACAATAATAATAATAATGATGATGATGATGATGATGATGATGCTCCATTTGCCGTTAGGTCCAACTCTGCGGTGTGTGCTTTCGTAATAATATATATATACATATATACATATGTAAATATTCCCAGTTTGGATGCACACGAGAGTTATTAATATTTTTACAGGAACACACCAAAGCGGCAGAACCGCCCCCACACACACACACACACACACACACACCTGCGCCGAAGAACTTTCTAGACTGTCACCGTTGAACCGAGCCCCAGTCTCCAGCCAGGCGGCTCCGAGGCTGGAGCGCAAAGCGTCCGGGGGGGGGAGGGGGGGGGGGAGAGGGGGGGCTGGGGAGCAGTCCTCGGGGTCACACCCACTGTGGGCGCCTGTGATCACCGCAGCCTCCAGCCGCTGTCACTCACCTAACTCCCGGGGGCCGCCGCCATCTCTGGCGGTCTCGCACTCGCCGCAGCCCACCTTCCTCCTCCTCCTCCTCCTCCTCCTGGTCCTCGCCCACGCGGCTCCAGTCACCACGATGGAGGGGATCCAGACTCCGCTCTCAGCGCCGCTGGAATGATCAGCGAAGCCCGCGCGGCCCCGCCATAACTACCCGTCACTCACACACTCCACCAATCAGCCAGCACCGGTACCTGGCCCCGCCCCCCCCGCTGATCACAGCCCCGCCCTCACACTCACAGCCGCACTCACAGCCCCGCCCCCACACTCACAGCCCCGCCCATAGACTCACAGCCCCGCCCCCACACTCACAGCCCCGCCCATAGACTCACAGCCCCGCCACCACACTCACAGCCCCGCCCCCACACTCACAGCCCCTCCCCCCCCTGATAACAGCCCCGCCCTCACATTCACAGCCCCACTCACAGCCCCGCCCCCACACTCACAGCCCCGCCCATAGACTCACAGCCCCGCCACCACACTCACAGCCCCGCCCCCACACTCACAGCCCCTCCCCCCCCTGATAACAGCCCCGCCCTCACATTCACAGCCCCACTCACAGCCCCGCCCCCACACTCACAGCCCCGCCCATAGACTCACAGCCCCGCCACCACACTCACAGCCCCGCCCCCACACTCACAGCCCCGCCCATAGACTCACAGCCCCGCCACCACACTCACAGCCCCGCCCCCACACTCACAGCCCCGCCCCCCCCTGATAACAGCCCCGCCCTCACATTCACAGCCCCACTCACAGCCCCGCCCCCACACTCACAGCCCCGCCCATAGACTCACAGCCCCGCCACCACACTCACAGCCCCGCCCCCACACTCACAGCCCCGCCCCCCCCCTGATAACAGCCCCGCCCTCACATTCACAGCCCCACTCACAGCCCCGCCACCACACTCACAGCCCCGCCTCCACACTCACAGCCCCGCCCCCACACTCACAGCCCCACCCATAGACTCACAGCCCCGCCACCACACTCACAGCCCCGCCCCACACTCACAGCCCCTCCCCCACACTCACAGCCCCTCCCCCACACTCACAGCCCCGCCCCCACACTCACAGCCCCGCCCCCACACTCACAGCCCCGCCCCCACACTCACAGCCCCACTCACAGCCCCGCCCCCACACTCACAGCCCCACTCACAGCCCCGCCACCACACTCACAGCCCCGCCCCACACTCACAGCCCCGCCCCCACACTCACAGCCCCACTCACACACTCACAGCCCCGCCCCCACACTCACAGCCCCACTCACACACTCACAGCCCCGCCCACACACTCACAGCCCCGCCCCCACACTCACAGCCCCGCCCCCACACTCACAGCCCCACTCACACACTCACAGCCCCGCCCACACACTCACAGCCCCGCCCCCACACTCACAGCCCCGCCCCCACACTCACAGCCCCACTCACACTCACAGCCCCGCCCACACACTCACAGCCCCGCCCCCACACTCACTGCCCCTCCCCACACTCACAGCCCCGCCCCCACACTCACAGCCCCTCCCCCACACTCACAGCCCCGCCCCCACACTCACAGCCCCGCCCCCACACTCACAGCCCCGCCCCCACACTCACAGCCCCGCCCACCTACTTCATGCTCAGCCACACATTCCTCCACCCTCCTCCTCAAACCCCTTCCCTCCAATCATTCTCAGCTCCATCTCCTCCAGTCTCAGCGCCACCCGTCTACTTTCATCAGTGCCGCCTTTATTCTTTGGGCCGCCTTTCCACCCCAGTGGTACCATCTATTCTCTCAACACTTCCTCCACTCACAGATTATGTTATATAAATAAGATGCAAATTAAGGAATTCATTTGGGTATCATTGGAAGGGAACACTTTGCCAGCAATATTTTTCTCTAACTGTGTACTCGCACTTCAACTTGCATTGAAATTAACGCAGTACTATCACTGGTTAAATAACACAGTTTATATTCAAACATAATAGAATGCTCAGCATAGGATAATGTTTTAAATATGGTAAAAGGGGTGGCTCACACTTATCAATGCAGAAAACTCATCAAAATGATTACATTATTTGTTCAGAGACAGTATTAGGATATATTATCTTACAAGAAAAATATAAATTAAGTACTGAAATGGGACTCTGAAGAAGGAGCTACTTATTTTGCACAAAATGTATAAATTTCAATTGCATACCTTAAATTCTTCACATGTCACTGTGCTACATATGTCACTATCCACCCACAATCAATATCATTAACTCCAAACTATTGTTTGAAAAGAGTGGAAAGCTCTACATGCTCAGATGCATTCAGAAAAGAGAAAGTTTTGTAATTTCATTGCATCATGCCATCTTCTCACGTCACAGGACAAGAAAATGACATCAAAGCTTTGCTTAGTGATTAGAGAAATCTTGTGTGTGAGAGAGCAGAAGGAACAAGTCTGTTAAAAACAACACAATAAAAAGCTGCTGGAAAATAGTATGAGCTAAGAGTGGAGGAAGTGGTGATGAGAGGGGAGGAGATGGAGCTAAGAGCGGAGTGGAATATTTGCATGTGTTTTGCTCAAATAAATAGATCAACCTGTGGTATTTGTGGTGTATTGCATTCTACTGCTGGATTTGTTCAGCAGTGTTAACCCTTTGAAACTCACAAAACCAGCTGTTCTTCTGGCAGAACAAGGGGATGGTGAGGGCCTGCCTCAGGCTCGCGCACGATATGATCAGGGACTATATACTGAGGGCCAAGCTGAATGAAGTTTGTCTCAACCGCGGCAAAGGCCAGATGGGGTCTGACCCCGGCAGGAGCCGCTCCGGTACAACCCGCTCAGGGCGCACCCACCGGGTAGCCCGCGAACGCACCTAAACTGATTGAAGTATGGGTACAGAAGGAGGCTCGAGATGTAACCAAAGAGCGTCCCAAAAATGTATGTGCTGTAAACGTGTGCGTGTACGGTGCACATCGGGTCGCCTTCCGAAAGCGGCAAGTGCGCCTTATCAGGGTGTGTGCAGAGGCGCACATAGACGTGATGTACACAGGAGCAATTCCCAACTGTGTTAAAGGGAACTTCCCAAAAAACGTGCGCACAACCTATGTGTGGTGAAGGAATGTACCGTAAACAATGGAATGTTTTTTGTATCGGGAGAAAGGAAAACAATTGTAACAGAAGATGTTGTGTTTGTTTTGGATGTCTGTTGTACTAAATATTATATTTATAAATAATTATATATTTTCAAAAAAAGTTAACAGCTTGTACTTTACCGGGTCTGTCAAGTGACTGGTGCATACTATCTTGCCTGTGTTTCAGTATTTGTTTTAACCATCCTTCTCCTTTACACTTTTTCCTAGATATCCTTTCTCCCTATTGCTGCGAATTCCACTTTCATTTTATGTAACAACAAAGCAGAAGGTAAAAACAACAGTGTTAACCTGCAGATTATTCCCCCTCCATACAACAGCACATAATCTTAAAATATTTCAACAAAAAATAATTCCATTGTTAGATGAAAGTGTTTTGGCTCCCTCAGCTCTACTGGATCCGGCCTCCTGCATGATCCTCGTGCCGTCCGTTCCGCATTTGGATGGCCGCGCTTTCAGCCACTACGCCCCGAAACTCTGGAACACTCTTCCTCTGTCACTCCACATTGCCATTTCCTTCCCCATCTTCAGATAGAGCCTGAAGACCGTCCTCTTCGACCGTGCCTACGGTCAACGCCCCCTCCCCCCAGCTCAGCATCTCCGCTAACGGCTTTTCCTCCAGCCCCCCGCCCCCCGCACTGTCTCGTGCGGTGTCCCTCAGGGCTCTGTCCTCGGTCCCCTCCTCTTCACCCTCTATATGCTGCCCCTTGTTGACATCATCCGCAGACATGGGGTCAACTTCCACATGTAAGCGAATGACACCCAACTCTACCTTTCCTCCTCTACCCTCAACTGCACGACCACCGATGTCCTGACAGCTGCCTGTCCGACATCGAGTCCTGGACAAGAGACAACTTTCTTCAGCTCAACGTGCGTAAAACTGAGGCCCTCCTGATTGGCTCACGTGAGCGCCTCCGCACCTCAGGCGCTGACAGCATCAGCATCCAAGGCTGCACTCTCCACCTCTCAAAGCCGGTCAGGAACCTCGGGGTTCTGTTCGACCCTGAGCTGTCCTTTCTTCCTCATATCCACACCACAACTGGCACCACCTTCCATCACTTCCGAAACACCGCCAAACTACGGCATTACCTCACCCCTCACGCTGCTGAAACACTGGTCCATGCCTTTATCACCTCAAGGCTGGACTATGGGAACTCTCTCCTCGCCGGCCCTCCCGGCACCTCCCTCCACAAGCTGCAGGTCATTCAGAACTCTGCAGCTCGTGTACTGTCCCGCACCAGGCTTCGCGACCACATCACTCCCACCCTCGCTCGCCTCCACTGGCTCCCCATCCCCAGAGGATCGAATTCAAGATCCTCATCCTTACCTACAAGGCCATTCACGGCCTTGCTCCCTCCTACCTCTCTGACCTACTATCCCCCTACCTACCTGCCCGTACCCTCCGTTCCTCTGGCTCCGGTCTGCTCCACATCCCCCGCCCCAACCGCCCTACCATCGGTGGCCGGGCCTTCAGCCTCTCAGCCCCTAAGCTCTGGAACTCTATCCCCCAGTGCCTTCGCCTTGCCTCCTCCCTTTCCTCCTTCAAGGCCGGTCTCAAGACCTTTCTCTTTGACCAAGCCTTCAGCTCCCCTCTCGACTCTCTACCCCCTCCTCACTCCCTCCCTTCCCTCCCCTCACCCTGACCATTTCCCCCCTGCTCGGGTCCTGACCCAACTGTCCAGCGCCTTGGGACGTCCTCCCGATGTGAAAGACGCTCCATAAATGAAATCTTGTTGTTGTTGTTGTTGTTGCGCTAGCTGAAATACTGTACAATCAGTATGTGAGAGATGTGCAGGCAAACAGAAAGTAAAATGGAGCATCAGCACTAATGCAGTTCAATACACACTTTGGTTTATTTTTTGTTCTTTCATCTTCATTGTAAACAGATTTTTAAATACAGTATAATTCATGAAGAGGTCAACCCGCTTCTCCATTTTGCTTTGCTTCTCCTTTTCATTCAAGTTCCATTATTGCACCCCAATGTTTTCCTTGTAGATGGAAACTTGGCAGGACAAAATAAAGAACAAAGACGAAGCTGAGTCATGGCAACAACAATAAAATTACATTTTTAAAGCGCTGAGTCCTCCCACTGAGTCCTCCCAAAAGGAGTCCTCCCACAGGAATCCTCCCAGATGGATATAGATAAAGACGAAATGTTTGTCTGTGTGTCTGTCTGTGTGTCAATCTACATTCCATATTGGATCCTTTGGTTGCAAGTGAAGCTGCAACGGATACAGATAGTTTGATATAAAGCTTTATCATGTCGAAATGTCTCAAAGCACTTCACAAGACTTTTGTATACTGTGTAGCACAGAGACTGTAATTGATAATGGTCCTTACATTTAATATACTGTAATGTTTTTCAGGTCAGGAGAATATTTCAAACAGCTTCATAGGAATTACTGTAAAGTGTAGTGACTATATACTTTGTTGGTGAACACGACAGCCAATTTATGCACAAGCTTGTCCCATAATCAATTATTTTTAACTTGGCGATTTTTGGACAGGACACTGGGAGAAACTCCATTCTATTTTTGAATTGGGCCATTGGATCTTTAACGTCAACCTGAACAGGCACAAATAGGACTTTGTTCAATGTTGCATCCGAAGGAAGGCAGCTCGAATAATGCAGCACTCCCCAGCACTGAAATGGACTGTGAGCTCAAAGTCCTGACCTCTCAGATGGTCATCCTTATCACACAGATGACACTAACATTCTCGTTTTTTTCTTTACTAACATACTTTAGTTTCATGAAAATGGTGACCAACAGATTTTTAAAATCCAAACAAAGTGTCATATTTTGTCCCCCAATAGTAGCAAAGTGTTTACTCTGAAAGATCACTGCAAATGAGAACTAACATTTTGGTTGAATTTTCAGGGGACTGGTTGGGTTTTGATACTGGACAGTGGTAATCCAAGCATTGTCCTTCTCCCATGTTAAAAAGTGTTTGTTTCTTCACAATTTCTGCTAACTTTTATATTAAATTTAGTTCTTTTATTCTTCGCTGCTAAATAATCTTTAGCCTTCAGCAATAAACATAAGCCATGCTGGCTTTCTCCCATTACAATAAAATTCCCTGGAGATCCATTCCAGTTCTTGATAGTCTTACTGATAGCAGCTTTACAATAAATGGGTACTGTAAATGTTTGGTAAATAATCATCATCAAGACCCTGGATGGAGATCAATTAAAAAAGCTAATGCAATTCTATTCGTTATAACAAGAGGTCTACTGCCTAAAGACAAGGAGGTGCTGCTTATACAGATGGCTGGTCAGATCTAACTTGGAGCACGATGTTCAGTTTAGGGCACCCAATCAACCTAAGGAAAATAAACTGGGTTTGGATGGAAGGAGGGTGATCCAGCATCGATTGACTTGGGAAGTGAAAGCTGAGTTTTACTGAGTAGGCTGGGTAAATGGACTTCATTCTCTAGAATTGAGGAAATTGCAGGGTTGTATAATTGAGCTGCTTAAAAGGAACATAGTCATAACATTAGAGTGAAACCATTCTAGAAATTGAGGGGGGTTAGAAATATGGAGAAATGCAGGGGAAATGGGATTGAAAGATCCACCATAATCTAATAAAAGGATGGACAGACCTGATTGGCTGAGTGATGTACAAATGTTCCTACCTTCATAAGAGAGATATAAAATCTGTTTTTTGGACCTGAGCTGGGGATCGGAATTGTCACTGAAGAGTGGAGGGTGGTGGGGGAAGCAAGGTGATCGAAAACACGATCGAAGAGGAGGGTCTTGAGATGGGTCTTGAAGGAGGCAAGGGAGGGGGGGCGAGGTGGAGGGACTACGCGATTGAGTTTCAGAGGGTAGGGGCAGAGTGGCAGAAGGTCCGCCCACCAATAGTGGGGGATGTAAAACAGGCCGGAGCCTGCTGAGCGGAGGAAGTGGGCAGGATGGTAAGCATTTAGGAGGTTGCAGAGGTAGGAGGGAGCAAGGCCATGGAGGGCTTTGAAGATGAGGACCAGGATCTTGAACTGTATCTTCTGTGTGATGGGAAATCAGTGGAGTTGGGCTGGTGTGGGCAAGGACATGGGCTGCAGAGTTTTGGATGATCTGTAGCCTATGGATGGTGGCGTTGGGGAGGCCGACAAGCAAGGAGTTTGCATGGTCAAGCCTGGGTGTTATGAATGTGTGTTTGAGGGTTTTGGTGGCCTGTTGTGTCAGACAGTGGCGGAGCCGGGCAATGTTGCAGAGGTGAGGAAAGGCAGAGTGGTTCATCGCATGAATGTGGAGTAGAAAGGATAGTTGAGGGTCAAAACAAGATGCAAGGTTCTGGACTGGCTTAGTAAGATGCAGTGTGCATCCATGGATGTGATGCTGTCAGTGCCTGAGGTGTAGCGGCGCTGACGGGAGCCAATCAGGAGAGCCTCGGTCTTGTTCCTCCGCCTTTCCTCCGTATTCCACTTCAGTGGGACCGCACTCGCCTGGTTTGAGTCCTACCTCACAAACCGCCAGCAGTACATCTGCACAAACAGCTTCTCCTCCCGCTCTCACCCAGTCACCTGCGGTGTACCCCAAGGATCCATCCTTGGTCCCCTGCTCTTACTGATCTACATGCTCCCTCTTGGGGATATCATCCGCAGACATGGGGTACACTTCCACATATATGCAGATGACACCCAACTCTATTTTTCCACCTCTCTTTGTGACCCTCAGTTCTCTGATGTTCTGTTAGCCTACCTGTCAGATGTCAGGGGCTGGATGAGCGGAAATTTCCTTCAGCTGAATGTTGACAAGACGGACGCTAAACTCTCACGGCTCTCACCTCCTCCATCTACCTGACCTCCCACTAAAACTCCAAATCTGTATGCAACCTAGGCATCAGGTTCGAACCCCAATTATCCTTCATCCCCCACATCCAGTCCCTCACCAGCACCGCTTTCTTCCACCTCCGATGCATCGCCCGTCTCCGCCAATATCTCACTCCAAAAGCCGCTGAAACCCTGGTCCATGCCTTTGTCACCTCTCAGCTGGACTACTCTAATGCCCTCCTCGCCGATCTCCCATCCATTGCCATCCATAAAATCCAAATCATTCAAAACTCTACCGCCCGCACGAAACTCCGCTCCCCGATCACCTCAGTCCTTGCCAGACTGCACTGGCTGCCTGTCCCAGAGAGGATCGACTTCAAGATCCTCACCCTTGTATTCAAATCCCTGCACTCCTCTGCACCCCTTACTTCTCTGACCTCCTCTCTCCTCAAAACAGTACCCTTTGCCTTTGTTGCTCCGGATATGGCCTCCTCCTCGTCCCCTGAGTCCTCTGCTCCACCCTCAGTGGCCGTGCCTTCAGCCACTATGCCCCGAGGCTCTGGAACTCCCTTCCTCACTCCCTTCAACTCATTCCATCCCTTTCTATTTTCAGGTCTCTACTGAAGACCTTTCTTTTCGACCGCGCCTTTGGTCACCTTCCTCCCCCCCCCCGGCTCGGCCCCGGGATCTGTTATTGTGAAGCACTTTGAGACGCAGTCCGGCGTGGAGGGCGCTATATAAATCCAAGTTGTTGCTATTGTTATTGTTGTTGATGTTCAACTGAAGAAACTTAGCTCTCATCCAGGACTCTAGGCACAGTACACCCAGATTCTTGTGGTGCCTAGTCAGTTTCTTGTGTTAGAAAATGTGCAATGTGCAGGATGTGGCATCAGCAGTGACCTGGTTACTGAGAAGTTGGCCTTTTTTGCGCCTCACTTACAGAACAAATACTGGGATATTGGACATGGAATGAGGTTAGAATGGGGTTGCTCTGTACTTTATCCTGCTTCAGTGATCGTTTATCTCGACAAATTGTGTTTTGTTGGATATTTACCAGTGATTTCCTTCATGAGTCTCTTTAATGGGCTTCCTGGAAACTACATATGAATCCATATTTTCACATCATATTATCATTAAATATTTAGCAAAATAAGAACAATGTTTCACAATGGTTCACCAAGTGTGATAATAATTTTCTGAGAGGAGTTAAAATAGATGCTGAAGCAGTTATACAAACATATGTACTTCACTTCAGATTTATTGCCTTTTATGTCCCTTGAACTTTATATCTTTTCCAGTAAAATCATGCTACGTGGTTCTTATATCTAGCTCTTGTACGATCTGGAAAGCTTAATGTAAAATGATATTGCAGTGCCAGATGTGCAATGTGCAATTTTGTAAAACAATTTTGAGTTAAGTTGTCTGGGATATATATTTTAAGTTGGCGGTAACATTCACTCACTTTTTCAATTCTTACCATCTCATGCTTTGTGAATAGTTTATTGATCTTCCCTTTTGCATAATTGTTCATTCAGTCCTTGCTTTCACAGCTGGTCCTAAAAGTTATTGCAGAAAGCAGATGGTTATTAGTGTACATTTATCAGCATAGACTTTAAATCTGCATAAAAAATGCAGATTTAAAGTACTATCTTTCCACTGAACAATTTTCATAGAAACTCAGTTAGACAAATCAAAAGAAAGAATACTTGAAACAACCTTACAAAATATACTTTTATAGTCAAAATTGGCATTTTCAGAGTGAATCAGTTGCATACTTTTAGGAATTTGTGTTACTGCCACTTAATCTTTGATTAAATGATTATTTAATGGCTATTGTGGGTCAACGCTTCACAAATTTTTTTGGGAGGTCAGTCGGGTGTCTGACACATGCATCCAAACCAAACTGAGATTTCCATGCATCCCACCTATACATGGAATTCCCAGAGATAGATTGTTGGAATGGAATGCGCACTCTCTTCCTGGAGGGACTCATCCTGCTTACCTAATTCCAGAAAGTATGAGGCGCAGGTTGGCAAGAGCCAATACTTGGGGTCCCTGGAGTGTGTGTGGGACAACCCTACCTGTTAGGGCTTTGGCTTGCAGAGTTAATAGGAGCTGAGTGGTATATCTCCACTTGGTCTGTCCTTCTAAGTCCTGTTGATGAGCCAGGTTGGCTGTGCTGTCATCAGAGGTGTTGGCACAAATTTTGCTGCCTATGGTTTGTCTATAAAAAGAGTCATTATAGTTGATAGAGTAGTCGAGTTTGCATAATGTTAAGTTGCGTATTGTAAATTGTAAATGCCTACAGAAGAGTCTGGAAGTGATTGCAAGTACATATTGTTATATTGTTATAGTACATATAGTGTTATAATTTTGTCCGGTCCAATAGATTATAACGTTAAACAGATTCGACTATAAATTGCCTTTGATACTCCCTAAGATATTTGAAAATTAAAGAGCAGTATAACAATTAATTAATTTCATTCATCCATCCATCCAGCCATTCATTCATAATGCATAATATTTCCATTTCTTTCAAACAACTTTCAAATTGAAGGCTGGCAATATGAAATATACACTGAATTCATAATGCCCCTGTAAACTGAATTGGAGTAGTGCCATCTGGAGTAATTCAGAACTGCTACATAACTCCTGTCTTTTCTAATTTTGAATGTGCATATTTTCTTGCACAATCCAGTTTGTATGTCAAATTCAACAACAACAATAACAAAATTACATTTGTAAAATGCCTTTCACATTGGGAGGATGTCCCAAGGCATTGGACAATCCGTGTTTCGGACCCGAGCTGGGGGCCAGGATTAGGGAGGGTGGAGGGCAAGGGGGGAAGCAGAATGATTGAAAGCACGGTTGAAGAGGAGGGTCTTCAAATAGGTCTTGAAGGAGGCAAGGGAGGGGGCGAGGCAGAGGGACTGCAGGATGGAGTTCCAGAGGATAGGGGCAGAGTGGCAGAAGGCGTGGTGTGGTGTGCGAGGCGGGGGACGTAAAACAGAAGCCCACTGAGTGAAGAGACCGGGCAGGATGGTAGGGGGTTAGGAGTTCTCAGAGGTAGGGGGGAGTAAGGCCATAGAGAGCTTTGAAGGTGAGGGGAGGCCAACAAGCAAGAGGGTTGCATAGTCAAGCCTCAATATAATGAAAGCATGTATGAGGGTTGGCCTGCGGTGTGAGATAGTGGCGGAGCCGGGCAATGTTGCAGAGGTGGGGGAAGGCAGAGCGGGTCATGGCATGGATGTGGGGTAGAAAGGATAGTTGAGGGTCAAACAACACAAGGTTCCTGACTGGATTAGTAAGGTGGAGTGTGCAACCATGGATGGTGATACTGTCAAAGCCTGAGGTGTGGAGCCGCTGGCGGGAGCCAAACAGGAGGGCCTTTTCAGTTAGTTTGCGAGATTGACAAAACCATGATATCGGGACACAGGATATTGTATTTGGTGAAATGGACCGTTAATCATCGCTGGAAATAATTTAAATATTACAAATAATATTAATGATTTGGTCACTCAATCCACCACTGTTTGTGGGACACTGCTGTGTGCAATTGGCTGCCACATTTCGTACACAAAACTACACATTACAGTATATACTGTGAAGCGCTTTGAGACATCTTGACGACGTGATAAGGCGCGATATCAAATGCAAGGATTATTATTATTATTATTATTATAAACATCTGTGGTCACACTACCTCTCCAGGGAAGATTAGATAGATGAGGAAGGTGGCCAAAGGCGCGGTCGAAAAGAAAGGTCTTTAGCAGAGATCTGAAAATAGGAAGCGTCGTTAAGACGAGTTTTCTGTGGGCGAAACGCAGCAGCCAATTACGCCCAACAGCGTCCCACAAACAGCCAAGGGTGAGGGGTGGTGTTTGCACCAGAGGGGGACAGGGGGGCAAATAGGTTTGTAGCCCAGTCAACCAGACAGTAGCCCAAAACTAGCCCAACGTTGGGCGTGGGCCCTCCTGTGGATAGAACAGTGTCTGAGTTGGCTTTAGTGCTTTTGAAATTCGTGAGAAAAAGGGGCTTCAAAGTTGGGGGGGGAAAAAAAAACGCTTTGCAGGTTTAAACTTTAAAAAAAATTAAAAGGTTAGGCGCCCGCCCGCCCGCCCACCGGAAGCCGTTCTCCCCACGCACAGCAACGGCAAAAGCCGCCCAATCCGAGCGTGAACCCGCCCCACCCGGCCTGACCCGCGATGCTGAATCAGGTGTCAGTGCGCACACTCCGGGAGGCCCCGGGCGCACGCCTCGCGTCACTATGTGAGCGGTTTTGGCGCCCTGTCTCCAGAGCTCCCTGGTGGTCTAGTGGTTAGGATTCGGCGCTCTCACCGCCGCGGCCCGGGTTCGATTCCCGGTCAGGGAAGGCCGTCTTTTGTTTCGCTGCAAAACTTTCTTTTTTTTTAAAAAAAAGAGAGATAATCATTGAAAAAAAAACAGTTCAACCCTTTCAAACAAACCCAACCTTTTTGTGATGATAAATTGTCCAAGTTGCCATTTTTTGCATCACCCCACCCCACCCCCCTCTTGCATCGCCTTGAGTGGAAATGAATAAACTTTTAGCATTCAATCGAAAAAGACCACGAGGTGACCGTCGCTGCCGCAGTGTATTGCATGTTAAATTATTCAGGTGTTTTATCAGCGTGGTTTGCTTTTCTCTGGTCCGATTTGCAAACCCAATTTGAAAGGACAGGTATCCCTGTAACTCAACACGGTGTTGACTGTCCAGATCCTGTAGGGACTCTCTGTTGCCACCTGGTGCCTGAAATTGCTGTCTGCAGGGCTGCCATGAGCCTTGTGTTGCTCAGTCATTGCTTTCCTTCTTTGCTTCTCCAAAGACACATCATTAAAATGATTGTTCCAACCATAATTTACCCCCCCCCACCCCTCCAAAAAAAATCTTCCATTGGATACAATCTTCCCTCAGCGAGCAGACAAACTCTTTACATTTCCTCGGGCGCTCTGAATCTTTTCGGCCGCCTTCCCCGAGGTCACGCTTTAAGAACGTGGAAGGAGAATCGTCTCCTCCGGGCCATCCTTTCGCAGACCGCTCGACCGCTTTCGTGGATCAACCCATTTGAATTTGCTTTAAACTTTTTTTAAAAAAAAGGGTTCGGCAAAATTTCCAATGGCCATTTTACCATTTCATTTCATTTAATAAAATTTACCAGCAGCTCAGGAATCATGTTCCATGCAGTATTTGAAATTTGATCAGCTGAATTTATACTTTTCCCTAATATCCCATAGTCCCATAACTATCTTTGTATTTCAACGAGCTCTTTTTTTTTAAAAAAAGTATTAGTTGACCCAGTTTTCTACACAACTATAGAAATTATAGTACAGAAGGATGCTTTTCAGCCAGTTGAGCTGGTGCCACTTTAAACTATTTTGATTCAAATTCTCTGTTCTTTTTCCACACTTTTACATTCTTTTCAAATATTTATCCAATTTCCTTTCAAATGTTGCGGTCGTAGCCTCAGTATCAAAGTAACAACAGCAACACAAATTATATTTTTATAGTGCCTTTCATTACAGGAGGACGTCCCAAGGCGCTGGACAGTTGAGGGTTTGCACCTGAGCTGGGATTGGAATCAAGAGGGATGGAGGTCAAGGGGGTTGGGCATGGAAGGATGACTGAAGGCATTGTCAAAGAGGAAGGTCTTGAGATGGGTCTTGAGGTAGGCAAGAGAGGGGACAAGGTAACTAGATTCTGGGATGGAGTTCCAGAAGGCTGAAAGCACGACTGCCAATGGTGGGGTGGGCAGGGCAGGCAGGGCTCATAGAGCAGGCCAGTGTCTGATGAGCGGGCAGGTTGGTTAAGTTGTAATCGCAGAGTTAGAGAGGAACAAGTCAATAAATGAAGACTAGGATATTAAACTCAATCCTCCAGGGGATGAGAAGCCACTTAAGCTGGACAAGGATGGGGGTGATCGGCCTTCGGAGCTTGATACAAGAGAAGACCCAAAATGCAGAGTTCTGAATAATCTGCGTCTTGTGGAGGAAGTCATTCCATGTTGAAATACTGTACAAGCATTTCATGTTGCTTTGGGCAAATTGGCTGCCATTTTTGCCAACAAATACACAGTCATGATACTTTACAGCATATCCTGTGAAGCTCTTTAATATGTCTCGATGATGTGACAAAATGCTATATCAAATCTAAGGATTATTATACATAACCCTCTGCGTGAAAATATTTGTTCCAGTGACAATCCTGAGTTTATGCCCCCCTTCCCCTCAGTATTAATTCACCAATCAGTTGGAATAACTTTTCACAATTTATCTTTTTTAATTTCTTCGGAGTCATTACATCTTCTCTTCAAGTTTTTTAATAATAATAATCCTTGCATTTGATATGGTGCTTTAACATGTCGGAAAGACGTCTCAAAGCGCTTCACAGGATTTACTGTAAATGTGTGAAGATCAACCTCAGGCAAAGGTCAAACCCAGGCTCCTGTTCTCCACCACCAACCAGCATCTCAGCCCTCCCTGCCACACCTTGCAGATTCTTTCCTCCGACTCCCACTGTGAGGAAATGCTGAACTTCCTTGAGTCCAACATCGAGGGAATCCTCTCAGCTGCCACTGCCCACCCAACTTCCACCCCCTCCCTACCACCCCGCCCAACACTCCGACCACTACCCATCCCTCCTTCCACACCTTTGAACCTGTCACTCCCTCCTCTATCATCACCACCATATCCTCCATGAAGCCCACCATCTGCTCCCTGGACACTATCCCCAACCCTCTCCTTAAATCCCAGCTCCACCTCCTTGCCCCACTACTCGCCGACATCATCAACCTCTCCCTGTCACCTGGCACTGTTCCTACCCCCGTCTCCCCCACCTTGAAGAAACCTTCCCTTGACCCAACACAGCTGTCCAGCTACCAGCCATCTCCAACCTTCCTTTTCTGTCCAAGGTCCTTGAGAGAGCTGTTGCCTCCCAGCTTCTCTCTTTCCTCTCCTCCCACTCCCTCCATGAGTCCCTTCAATCAGGTTCCCTGTTGCCCACAGCACGGAAACTGCTCTGGTCAAGGTTACAAATGACACCCTGACCATGTGTGACCAGGGCTGGCTCTATCTCCTCATCCTCCTTGTCCTCTCTGCCGCTTTTGACACTGTGGACCACTCAATCCTCCTCCACCGCCTCTCCTCCCACCTCAACCTTTAAGGTTCTGTCCTTGATTGCTTTAAGTCCTACCTTTCACACTGCCTCCACTTCGTTGCAGCAAATAGCTTCTCCTCTAGCCCCCGCACCGTTTCATGCGGTTTTCCTCAGGGCTCTATCCTCGGTCCCCTCCTCTTCACCCTCTACATGCTCCCCCTTGGTGACATGATCCGCAGACATGGGGTAAATTTCCACATGTATGCGGATGACACCCAATTCTATCTCTCTGCCTCCATCCTCAACTCCAGGACTACTGGGGTCCTGACCGACTGCCTGTCAGACATCAAGTCCTGGACGAGGGACAACTTTCTCCAGTTGAACATCAGCAAGACCGAGGCCCTCCTGATTGGCTCACGCTAGCGCCTCCACACCTCGGGTGCTGGCAGCATCATGATCCATGACTGCACACTCAACCTCAGTAAGCCAGTCAGGAACCTACGTGTTTCGTTGACCCTGAACTGTCCTTTCTCCTCCACATCTGCACCATGATCCGCACCTGCCTACCACCACCTCCACAACATTGCCAGACTCTGCCATTGCCTCACCTCTCAGACTGCTGAAACCCTTACCCACACATTCATCACATCAAGGCTCGATTATGGAAATTCCCTCCTCATCGGTCTTCCCAACTCTTCCCTTCGCAAGCTGCAGATCATCCAAAATTCTGCAACTCATGTACTCTCGAGCACCAGGTTCCGTGACCCCATCACTCCCATCCTCACCCAATTCCATTGGCTCTCCATCCCTCAGAGGATCGAATTCAAGATCCTCGTCCTCACTTTCAAGGCCATCTATGGCCTTGCCACCTCCTACCTCTCTGACCTGCTGACTCCCTACTAATCTGCCCGCTCCCTCCATTCAGCGGGCTCCGGCCTGCTCCATGTCTCCCGCCCGACCCGCCCTACCTCGGTGGCCAAACTTTCAGCCTCTTTGCCCCCAAACTTTGGAAATCCATCCCACGGTCCCTTTGCCTTGCTTCCTCCCTTGCCTCCTTCAGGACGATCTCAAGATCCTCCGCTTCGATCGTGCCTTCGGTCTCCCTCCCACCCCTCTGCCTTCCCTCACCCCTACACCACCCCTCCCCCACGCTCGGGTCCTGACCCCTGACTGTCCAGCGCCTTGGGACTTCCTTCCGACGTGAAAGGCGCTCTATAAATGTAATTTTGTTGTTGTGTATTTTGTGGACAAACACAGCAGCGAATTTGCACACAACAATGTCCCACACATAACCATGGAGTGAGTGACCAATTTTATTTGGGGGATTTGTTTCTTTATTTTTATTTGGGGGATTCTTTGTTCCAAAGCCTACACTCACAACTCCAGAGGCAGGCAATGCTGCCTTTGGCACTGACTATTGTGACAAAATCTGCGGTGGGGATATTTTCTGTAACTGCAATTTTCAAAGTGTGCACATCACATCACACAGTACGTACCTAATAATTTTTGATGTTAGAATATGCTAATGGTAAACATTTCCTCCAATTATGACCTTTCTATTGATTGATGTATATCAGGTTAGAATATATTCTTTAGGTTTACAGACAAATGCTCTGTAGAGCTGTTAAATCTGTTGGAAACAGCTTCTCATTGACTGGACATGTCA